GGGAATGGTGCTACCATCCATCCAAACATAAAGGCCAGAAACTCGGGAAATCTTTGACCTCTTCTCCCACATCCTCCACATCCATCAACATACCTTGTGGATTTTGCTTCCTACAATCTCAAGTCCATATTCTTCTGTGTACTGATCTCTATCATCCTTGTCCAAGAATGATCATTTCTCACTTGGACTCCAAGAGTTCAGGCATCAGCTCTCATGTCTTTCTAAGTCCTTCCCCATATCATAGCCAGAATAATGATTTCCAATTGCAATTCATGTCAATCCTCACCCCTTTCTCTTCTCCACTCCCACCTCACCCTATCTCCCCAACTTGAAACCTTAAAATGGCTTTCCTAAATTCTTAAGGTAAAGCAAAAACCTTTAAAATGGGCTGTGAGGTCTGTGGGACCTGGTTGCTATCATGATCTCCAACCTCACTTCCCTCCACACTCTTTCTCACCTGTGCTCCAGTCACATGGGTTTTCTTTTGGTCTTTTAAATGTATCCCAATTCTTCCTGCCTCGGGACCTTTGCACATACTGTCCCTACTCTCCCTTGCCTGATTTTCAGCCTACATATTAATGGCCTACACAGCTTTCAGATGGGGGCTCAATCTCATGTTTACAGGGACATTGAAGAACCCCCCCCCCAAAAAAAAAGTATTCTCTTTTAGGGCACTTTCTACAGTGACAAGCTTCCATTTATGTTCTTTTGATTACTGTCTGTCTTCTGCAAACCTTTAAGGTCTATGAGGTCTGAGACTCACCCAAAAACTAGAACAATCCTAGGCACAGAGTAGTCGCTTAGTAAATACTAGTTGAATGACTAAAAAAAAGAAAGAAGGTAATATGTTGGATTCTGGGAATACAAAGATGAATGAGGCATGGGACTTCCCAGAAAGCAGCTCACAAATTGAGGGTGGGAGGGTAAATCAGATGAGAGGATGACTAAACAGACTCAGGGTGTAATGGGGCAATGAGCACATAGCAGAGGCCACAGGAGACAGTGCTGCCTGGGTCCAGCCCACCACCCCCAGATGAAACTCTATGCAGGTGTCTGTTGGCTGATATCAGCCCTCAAGGATCCTGGTCCTGGGAAGTCACTGCTCTGCAGCCGCCCCTGCACCCCAGCCATGGCCATGCCACCCCACACTGCCATGAATTCTACAGGGCACTGTCCTCAGGAGCTGGGCACACTTCAGGCCTGTTCAGGGTACAGTGTTGTTAAAGGCCCTGGTTACAGTGTGGAGTGCTTCAGTCAGAAGAATTCTATGCCTTCTGGACGGTGACCTCATCGTATCCTCAGCCAACCCGGGGAAGCAGCAAAGGGTAATGATTTCTCTCCCCACTCTACAGGTGGGGAGACTGAGGTCAATGGAGATCACTGGACTTGGCCAGGGAGTGAGAACAGCTTGGGAACAGAACTTGGAGGGAACCCAAGGCCCTCTCTCCAGGATCCGCCAACCACACCAGTTGGCAGAGGAGAACTCCTCAGGCAGAGGACAAGCTGCAGCAGGAATCTGCAGACTTGTTTACTTTGGTGCAGAAGGACATTTCATCACCTCTTGGAACCACAGAATGCTAACGCAGATGGGCCCTCGGAGATCATCTGATTCAATACCCTTGTTTTAGGCAGGAGGAAACTGAGGCCAGAGCAATGAATCTCCTTTGCCCTCACTTTCCTTTCCCTGCCCTACTGATAGTGAGTAGTAGGGCAGAGACTCCTAGCTGTCTACCCAGATCCCTTTTCCCCTTCTTTGTCTCTATGCCTAGGCTCTATTTCCCAGACTCCTTTTCAGTTTGGGGAGCCACGTGACAAATGTTCTTTCTGGTAGGACGTGAGAGGAAGGGCCGCGTGGCACGTTCAGGCCCAGCCCTTTTCAAACCTCCCGTGCTCACATCTCCGTGTTCTTTCCATGTTCTTTCGACTTCCGGCAGACTGGGATGTCAGTTCCAAGGGCAACTTCGGAAACCATACATTATTAGAGAAGGACAGAGCGGGACCTTCTGTTCCCCAGGACCCATCATGTGGGTCCTGGGGAACACTGTGTGGAGAAGAGCCACACGCTCACCTGAGTGTCTACGGCTGCCAAGAGAACCAGAAGAATAAAACATTGGTCACGCGAAGCTGCAGCATTTGGGGGAGGCCGATTCAGCACTGCAGTCTGGCCTAAACCCCATCTAGTTCACACAGCAGCGGGATAAGACCCTGCAAAGCTCCCACTACAGGCATCTTTGGGTGGTGAAGACACAGGCTGACTGCAGAGCTCACTGTTGACCACTTTGGAGGGCCCCCACTCCCACCTCTGGAGAGGTTAGGAATGTCTGGCTTCTGCCTCACTCAGTCTGGGAACTGGGTCCAAGCCGGCTCCCCAACAGATTCATTTTAGGTCAGTAGATGCCCAGGGCTGGGATGGATCTGAGATGTCATCTGATTTCTCCCCCTGGCTCCAGTAAAGGCCTCTTCCAATCCATCCAAAAATCATGTTTCAATTTTTATATCCCTGGGCAGAAAACACCACAAATGTCCTTAAACGCCTGTCTCTTACCTCCTTGCTACGGTGTCAGAAGGTCTTTACTGAACCGTGAAACACCAGAGCTGGAGCATATCCTTAGCAATCATCTCAGGCAATCTTCGTTTTACAGATGAGGAGACTGAGGTTTGGACCACACAGTTAAACAGCGGTCAAGTCAGGAAGGCCCAGCTGACTGTTCTTTCTAAGGTTCTCTCTGTCTCCACCTCTCTCTTGCTGTTTTCTCTTCTTTTGTCCTAGAAGGTGATAGAAAAGTGCCCAGGGCCATTTCACTGTGATCAATCTTTCCACATTCTCCTGGGTCTCCCCCTTCTCATCCCCAGGGGAAGCACTTCCCAGCTAATGTGAGTTTGGCTGTTTCTCTTAGAAGACAAAGAGAAGATTAGGGAGAGACAATCTGGGATGCCTAGAAGTGAGGGATATGTCCCAGGTGTATGTTTGCTCCTTGGGCCTTGGTAGTCAATGCAGACTCCCTAGGGATCTCTGAATCTACACAAGAAGCCTGTAAGGGCCATTAAACCCTTGAATGTCACTGGTTGCCAGGGAGGGCAACCTGTGCTATGGGAAGAGTAAGAGGAAGGGAGGGCGTGGTGGTGACCAGAACCTCCGAGCACAGTGTCTTGGCCTGTTGGGGCTTGTCTGGCTGCATCTGGGCAGCTGGGCAGCAATGACTGTTAATATGAGTAGGATCCTAAGAAGTTGAGCTGAGGCCACGAGGGCAAACCAAGTTACTTACAGGGGATCATTGTATGGTCCTTTCTTGGAAAGACCTGGAAATTCCATGTGAGAGCCCTGGCAAGTTGGGTTCGTTTTGTGGTTCTTTACAAATGAAATAAAATAAAGCCAAATGGTTACTCCCCACTCCCCTGTTTAAGGTGAAGTTGTTTATACACGGCATCCTTTATGTTTTCTGCCAAGTGACTCATTTGGACTGAATCACTAGAAAGTGGGCCTAGGTCCATCTGCAGCTGCTCTGGACACCATGATCTGCTCATTGCCCTGGAGGTGGGGGTCATGGAGCTCTGGAGACAGCAGAGAGGAGTGAAGAAGTGGGGTGGGGTGGAGAGTCAGGCTTGAAAGGGAAGGCCATACTCATAGTTTCCTAAGCATCTGGTGGCCGAGGAGTCCCAGATGAAACTGACGAGATTCTCCCAAGAGCTCCAGTATTCATTTCAGTTGAGACATCATCTAGGTTATTGCAAATTCTGAATTGTGGGACCAGAATTAATAATGCCACACAATCCTTCACAGGTAAATCTCTTAATCTTTGGGTCTAGCTTCAGAATTTTGACCAAATTATTTTCCCATTTTGAGCCCCTTTTTATTCAACCTAGAAATAAAGAGACTTGCAGTCCCTAAAATTTAGACATTTTTTATCCTTTATTTACCGGGAAGGAAAGGGATATGGACACAAATGGAACTTTATTTGCCAAGAAATTTTATTTTCACTGAATCTTTGAATCTCTCCCCTGAAAGTATTCATTTAAAATTCAGCGATCTCTGTGTGTTCCTTTGTTTAATTTTCTATCTGCAACCCCTTTTCTGATTATGAGTTTGCCTAGCCATGCCCGAATTCATTTCTCTTTTGCCGGTGGCCTGTTTGGGTGTCCTGGAGGTGACATTTCTGCAGAACTCTTGGTGTGAGCCAAAGGCAGTGGTCCCATGGGGATGGAGTCCAGGCTTGAGAAGGCTTTGGAGAATAAGGTGACTCCCGCGTTGGGCACAGGATGAGGTGTGTTAGGCTTGGCAGCAGCGAACCCAGCACCAGCCCTGAGGCCTGGAGGAGGAGTGGTGGTGGTGGGAGGGGAGGGTGGCAGTTCCAATTAGCTAGGGGCAGTGACCTCGCGCGGTGGGGAGAGGGGAACAGGTTCCACTTCTTTCACGCACCAGAGCACTTTGTACAATCTGGTTAGTGCTAACCACATCACCCAGTACCCGCTTTTCATCCACTTACTGGGCATTCAAGGAGTTGGGAAATTCCGGTCCCGATTGGGAGGACTCGGTTTTTCTGATTTTTCTCCCAGTGGCAGAGCAACCCTAATGGGGGTGGCGAGGGCGTGTGTGTGTGTGTGTGTGTGAGAAAGAGAGAGAGAGAGAGAGAGACCAAAGTTGGCCGGCTGTGCGGACCTCACCCCGCGGTCCCCGGCCGGCCCCCGCCCCCTTCCTGCCCTCTCCCCGCCCCCGGCCCGGCCGCGCTCGGCCGGTGATGTCAACCCGAGGAGGAGCCGCCCGCCCGCCCGCGGCCCGCCCGGGCTAATTAGCATGTAGCGGCGCCTGGGCCGCCTCCGCCTCCGCCGCGCCCGCCCGCCCGGCCCCCGCCGCCCGCCCGCGGCTCCCCACAACTTTTGAGGCGGGGACTGCGCTCGCTGCCTCACTTCGCTCACTTCCCCGGCCCCGCGCGGCGCCCGCCGCCCGCTTCCCTCGCACCCGCGGCCGCCCCGCGCCCGCCCCGCGCGCCGGGCATGTGAGCGCGGGCGGGCGCCGCCACCATGGCCTCGCCGCCGCTCCCGCGCCCGCCGCTGCTGCTGCTGCTGCCGCCGCTGCTGCTCCTGCTGCTGCTGCCGCCGGCCGCCCCAGGGACGCGGGGTTGGCCGCCCTCGCCGGCCCTCCGCGCGCCGAGCGGGGCGCCCCTCGCAGGAGCGGGGCTGGCGCGGCCGCCGGAGCCCGGCCCCGAGCGCGAGCTGCCGCCCACGCCGCCGCCGCCCAAGCCACCCCGGGAGCGCCGCGGGCTCGCGTCCCCCGGCCCCAGCCGCACGGCCCTCGGGCTGGCCACCGCCGCACGCCGGGGACTCTTGCGCCGGGCCCCCCGAGGCGGGAGCGCGGGTGAGTGAGAGCCGCGGCCGGGCGCCGAGGAGCCTCGAGCTGGGGGGGCGTGGGCGCGCTTCTGGGCCGCATCCCCCGCCCTAGGCCCTCTTGCGAGCTCGGTCCCGGCCGGGGCCCCCCGCTGACCCGGGTCCCTGGTTGGGGGGTGGGGGTGGCCCAGGGGTGGGCAGCCTGGGAGGGCGGCGGGCGGGAGAGTGGCTTTCCTAGACGCTTTCGCCAGTGGCGGGACTGGGGGTGTGACCGCCCTGTTCTCCCCCCACCCCTTGGAAGAAGAAAACTTGTCTTCCATAGTGCACCCCAGACCTCTCCCCCCCAACACCTCCCTTTGAAAAATAGAAAGGAACCGAACCCCCCCCTCCCCCCGCCACCGCAAACCTTCCAAAAGTGCTTCTCCCACCGCGGAGGTGATAACATCTTCCCGTCAATTCCCCAATTCCATTCTTTTCCTGTAGCTAAATGGTCTCTCCAGGTACAGAGCCTAACTTTTAAATATAAATACCTGATTTTTAAGGGTTCTAGCCTTGAGGATATTGGAAAGGACAAAGGATGTAGTTGGAAACACAACGCTCTACTGGTTCACTCTAAAAGCAGAGGAGGGACCGGGGCGATGGTGTGGAGGTGGGGGGTTGCAAGGGCAAACCCCTGCAGGGCAAACAGTGGCACTGGACTGTCCCTGAGCCTTTCCTCTCCCCCCCACCTCTTTCCTTTCCCAATGGGCCTCTGCTCCATTCATAGCCACTGCCTATCCTGCTCAGAAAGGGACCTGCCCCCACTCCTCTGGACCTTTTTATGCATTTTCTTCTTTAGATCTGGAAGAAATGGTTAGGATCCAGTGGAATTCCAAACACAATACCATTGTGACATTGGGAATGTCACCGCTTTTGATCTCAGTTTCTCCATCTGTGAAATGGAAGTGATGATTCCTGTTCCCCCTAGCCTCCTAGTGATGGCATGACAAAATGAAAGTAAAAATAAATGACAAGTGCTTTGAACAGTCAGCAATGTGGTGGTGTTAGCCATTGCCTTCCTGTGAGTGACACAAGGCATACCCTCTCTCTCAGGGTCATTCTGGAAAAACAAGGTTGCTGGCAACACTGGTATTGATTTGAATTTTAGGTGAAGTTTGAGAAGATTTCCTTTTCCTAATTGGCACTTCATTTAAGTTTATCATATCACACACACTATCTGGTATAGGAATTAGCTGGCTTCATTGAACCTAGGGATGCTTCCCCTACTTAAATAAGAAAAAAGTTAAAAAAAAAAAAGTGGTCAGACCCCCAGTAAAAACTCAACTCCGTATTCAGTAGTATTCCCGTCATTGCAGAATGCTTTGTCCTTGTGAATTTCTAAGCCACTGGCCCAAGACTGAGAAACTCGGAACAGTAAGGAAAGGGAGGGGGGAAAGAAGCTTTAGAAGACCGATCAGAGACATACCCACTGTGACTGACTTCAGATGACTTACATCGTACATTGTTTTAAGTTCCATGGGAAGGAATCAACATGAAAGAGAACATTCCCAGGCTTTCCCACACTAGAAAAGTAACTAAGGAACACTGTGTAGTATGTTGTGAGTTTTCTAAGTAGAGATGGAGTACAGGGGATCGAGTCCCTTCCAGAGGAGACACCCAAGAGCTGGGGGGCAGGTTTCTCTGGTTGGTGGTCAGGCATTCTTAGCTGCGGAGTCCCATCTTATTAGGAATGGGTGGAGGGATGCTGATTTGTGGGGACACTGGGTGGATAAGGCTTGCACTCCAGTCTCCTTCCTTTTCACAGCTGGGTATCCCTACACATCACAGAAAGCTGGGCCTTACAGGCAGAGGGATAGTAGAGGAAACTGGCTTAGGGGGATGCAGCAGGTAAGAATTGGGGCTGATCTCTTTTGCTGGTTAGACATGCCCCTGCCCTAAGGAACCCACACTTGTTCCTAGGTGTGGCAGTAACACTGCTAGTCTTGGCCTTGCAACATTTCCAGTTTGATACATTTTGGAAGCTGAGAGCCATGGAGGCCTGGGGTGCATGAGGCTTTGGAGGAATGCACACGGGAGTCCCCAGAGCAGGTAGCAGGAGCCAGAGTAATACAAAACTTCCCCTACCTAAGTGGGTCTCTCCTGGCACCCCCCCGCAAAGCCGACCCAAGTCATGCCTGCTCTTCAGCAGACCTAAGGCTGGATCTCAGGTGGGATGTTAGAAAGGCGAGGTTAAGAGAGGAAATTGATTACCTGTTGAAAACTGCTAGAAGCTACTAACCGTGGCTGAGGATCCAACATGACCTGTGCTTGGTTTCTAGTGGTGGTTCAAACAACGTCACTTAGAGGGGAAACGGCAATGAACAAGAGAGCCAGCAGTAAGTGATTTCTGTGAGTCTGTAGTAATGTCTTTGTGTTTGGGGGAGGTGCTCGCTCCTGCTGGTAATGAGCCCCAAGTCTTAGAAATAATGTGCTTCATTTGATTGTTGGGGAAACTGCCTGCAGCCCCTTCTGCTGTGGGCATACCAGTGGTCAGTGCCTGGCACTCATGGCTGGGGCTTCTGGATACATGGGTGTCAACAGCAGGGGCCGGAGATGTCCTTTTCTTCCTTGGGGGCCATTTCTAGCCCTTTTCGTCTTGGCAGAGGGCAGGACTCTCGCTGCTGAGTACGCGTACTTGTGTTCCATTTGTGGGGTGTTTGCCTGCCTTTGTCGGCAAGTCCCCTACTTGTGTACCCACCTATCACCCTGCTGACTGTTCAGATGAAATTCGTGGCTGGTGTTTGAGCTGGTGGAGATGGAGAAGATGCTAAGTCCTAGAGATTTTCTTTTTCTTGGTGTGTGTGTGTGTGTGTGTGTGTGTGTGTGTGTTTGGACAACTTAGGACTTCCTGAGCCGCAGCTCTGAGTGCATAAGTGTATATGCCTTGATTTTTGTGTGCTCCGTGGACCATGCTTTAATTGTGAGATCTGCAGATGAAAGGGGATGAAAAAGGCTTAAGTCTTAATGAGAATCAATGCAAAAGGAAAGAACTTTTCCCACCCAAAGGGGAAATGACGCTGAGTAGCTGAGCAGCCAGCCCAAGGAATAATAATCTTAGAAAAATGCAGCTCCCTGGAGCAAAGGAAGCGCTGTGAGCCCGGCCCCTCCTTACATAGCTGTCCCCTGAAGTGCTCTAACTTTTCAGGCCAACTAGCCGGAGCTGCAGGGAGAAGCATGACACAGGGCAGCGGCCCAGGCTGGGCGGGAGGGGGCCCCAGAGGGAAGAGCATGTGCTGAGGCTGGGAGGGGTCGTGGTGGGGATTCCTGAGAAGCCCACTTGCGTTGATGCACGCTGCTCCAAATAGAAGGAAGTGTGTGGGGAAAGGGATTTTCTGTGGCGTGAGTGTGTGTGTGTGTGTGTTCGTGTGGTGTGTTTAAAAGCCACATCCTTTTAACCTTGCAAGAGCCCTTTTACTGCTTCCCTCGATGGGCGTGCAAATGCTGAACTGGTATTTTATGCCCAAGACCTGAACCATGTGGGTAGAGGAAGAACAAAAGAGGTCTGGTGCCCAGCTGGGCAGTGACTGCATACCTAGGCTTGGGGGGCTGGGGAAGGAGCCTGTGTGGTCCCCTGTGACTTCAGCGGCCCTGCTGAGCCGGCTGGGAGCTGTGTTCTTGGGGCTGACTTGCAGCCGTCTCAGAGATTCTCACAAAGCGAGCAGAGAACAGATGGCAGTTGTGGTTATTAGCCGCTTACTGCCTTCTTCCGTGGCTTCGCTCTGCCCACCCCACTTTAGGGAAGGAGACCAGTTTGGGGTTGTCCTTGGACTTGCAGCTTTGAGCACCAGTGGGGTCTGGTTGGCGCTTTCTCATTTAAGCCTCAAAAAAGTCCTGGAAGGGAGATCCCTGCTCCTTCACAGTGGTCGGAGCGGAAGCCTGGTGAGCTTGGATCACACAGTACACGGAGGAACCAAAATTCAGATGGGTTTATACCAGATTCATTTGTTCTCACCACGGTTTGAGAACGGTGCAGCCTCGGTCTTCTCGATGGGATCTCCAGGACCAGTGCAGCGTGCTGCTTCCTCTCTTCCTTGGTCCCTTGCTCCTGCCCTTTCCTGGAGATCAGGGCACAGAGGCAGGAGGAGGCTATGGAAGTGGTGGTGGGTGGGGACAAGTTGTCCTACAGAGTAGAGATCCAAACAAAAAAAAAATTTTTTTTTTTGAAATCGCTCAAGACAAGACCATAAGTCTGTCTACATGTATGAAATGTCATTTGATGTAGATATGGTGAATTGTGCCCTCTCTGTGTGCCAGTCCATATGGTATCGATGGCAGAGGTTACGCCATTAATTATGGGCCCTGCCGAAATGAGTTGATGATGTTCTCACTGGGCTCTGTGCTGGGAACGTGGCTGATTTTATGCGGCAGCTGTTACGCAACCGTGTTCACTAGGAGGAGAGGTTGGATGGTACCCCGATTCAGAGGTGGTGAAATTGTTTTCTTTCTAATGGCTGAGCATGCCCTCTCCGACCCATTCCCTCTTCATCTTGCACAGACAGAACAAAGATGTTTCTATCCTGGCTTTTCCCTCTTCTTTTTGTTGTAGTGGGGCTGGTGTGTCAGGCTGTGTCAGTCTGGCTAATCTGTAAACCAAAAAGCACTGATAGAGTCCTTTCTATGTGTGGGGAGCTCTGCCAGGTGATGTGGATCCCCCCATAGACGGGAGTCTTGTTGGGGCACCAGCATCCACGCTGGAACCAGTAGAATGATGGTGTGTTAGTGATCCAGAAAGGTCACAAGAAGATCACACTGACCGAAGGAATGGTGTGGAGAGAGGTGGCTGGAGAGGTGGAGAGGCTGCGGGGGGCCGGAAACGTGGGCAGGAGGAGAGTGTGGAGTGGGATATGGATAGCACAGAGAGGGTAGGGTATTGGCATCAGCAAAATCACACATACTACAAAGCTCAAGACCGACTCCTACTCCCTCCCCTTCCTTTCCTTTTCCTTTCCTTCCCTTCCCTTCTTAAAAAATCTATTTTAGGGATGCCTGGGT